GCGGGGACCTGCACCTGCCCCCTTGTAGCCCGCAGGAGGGGGCGGGGGAAGCCGTGCACCAGACTCCTGTCCGTTCCCCGGCCTCTGGCGCGGCCTCTGGTGATTGTGTTTTCATTACCGGCGCCCAGAAAAGGTGGGGCTGACTATTTTCTCTGACAAGGGAATGAAATGCAGGACAAGCCTTTCTTAGCCACTAGTCTCAGATCGGGTTCTGGAAGGGCTGTGTGAGGAGGGTTTCAGAGAAGCAGACCAACAGGAGAGAGAGATGTAGACGCCTCCTACAGAGGCAGAGGTGGGGTGAATGCAGATGCAGATGCAGGGGCAGGGGCAGTACAGTGTGGGTGGGCCTCGTCCAGCCCACCGAGGGCCTAAAGAGAGCCAAGGGCAGAGGACAGAGGGACCCCCACGTTTCCCTGCCTCCCTGCTGGAGCAGGGACACCTCACCTCGGCTCCCCTGCCCCCAGCTTGGACTTACGCCAGCTCCTGGTTCTCAGGCCTTTGGACTCGGAATGAATTCCACCAACGGTGCTGCCTCCACAACCAACAATTCCCTACACTCTCCTTTCACAGGCACGTGCTTCCTGTTGGTTCCGTTTCCCCGGACAACCCTGCCCTCCAGGTCCTCCCCCAGAGGCCTTTGCACCTGCTGGTCCCTCTTCCACGAATGCTGTTCCCTGCACCTGCTCACCGCTGGCTTCCTCCTACTTAACCCTCAGCTTCAGCCTGAGAGTCCCTTCTGAGAAAAGCCTTGTCTGACACCCAGCTGGGTCTCGAGGCCCTGGAGAGCCAACCCAGGCTCCCGGAGCTCCGACGGGGGAGAGGGGTGCCCTGCAGCTGGCAGCGGGGTCCTTGGGAATGGCCGCCAGGAAGGGGCACCCAGGGTGGGACGGGGATACAGTGAGGAATGAGCAGACTCGTGCTGAGGGCCTGTGGGGCGAACAGGAGGCCGTCCACTCTGGAATCACGCAGGGCACGGCGGGAGCACCAGCCCAGCGCCTCACACATGCGTGTTGAGCGCGTGAACGAGGTGAGAGTCCTGAGCGCGTGCCCCTCCTCCTCTGGGAGCTCCCTGTTCCCGAGCCGGGAGGAGGGGGAGGAGGCTGTGTTCACAGAGACAGGCTGAGGCTGGGGCGGGGAGTGTGGGGGTCCAGGCGGCGCCCCGTGGAGTGCCCCGTCCTTTCTCTGGATTGAGGGGGGGTGAATGCTATCTGACCCAGAAGGACAGATGTCAGTTCCCATCCCTCCGTCCAATGTCAAGGCTGTACCGTCTGTTATGTCTCATTTTTCTAGCGAGAGCTCTGCCCACACGGCATTTCGGGGAAATGACACTGAGATGAGCAGCGATTTCTGGGGCCGATGCTCTGACCGTGGAGCCTGGTTCTGCCTCAGTGTGGGGTCTCCTTCCGCCTCGGCGCAGGAAGTCAGGGCATTTCCCTGACCGCACGCCCATCTCGGATGAATGCGGGAAAGGCTCCGCCAGCAGACCCTGGTTGCTTGAAAGGGGGGGAAAAACCCAAAAACACCGGGGTGTGGAGTGGAGGGGGGGGGGAAAGAGGCTGTGATTTTCACAGTTGGTCCAAATTCATCGAATGTGCTTTCTTTTCAAAAAAAGACCATGCTGAATCCCCTTCTGCACAAACGTGCTTTGTTCTTAAAAGTCATCCAAGGATTCGGCAAAGGATCCCAGGAATTCACTCGTCAGGGAACGCCATGAAGAAGTCACAGCTGGGCGTGGGGACGAGACACCCAGGACGGCGGCAGCCCCTCGGGCGAAGCATGGGTCGCTCTCGGAACTGAGACAGCTGGCTGACCCAGCACAGCGGTGAGTATTGCAGCTGGGCACACCGGGCAGAGGCATCGCTGGTGAGCACACTGCCCACGGAGCCACGCATAAGGCCACGCGGTGCGAGGAGAGACCACGCGTCTGCGGGACACGGGACACGAGGTGTCAGGTGGGCTTCTCTCCCATGAGCACCGTGCGGATCAGGTTCACCTAAGTGAGCTCCTGTTCCAACGGAAGGCGACACCCAGCACGGGACCGTGGGCGTCCCCCGTGGAGACACGCTGGCTCGTGGCCCCTTCTTGCAGAGTGGAGCAAAAGGTTAATTACGCAAACGTCCGAGTGCTCAGGTATTCAGAGACAATGGAGTAAAACTGATGCAGACTCGCTGAGGCTGGAGGCACTTTGTGGGGGACTTGCTTCGTGTCTTCCTGTCACATCTTGGTGCCCCAGCGGCAGCGAGGCCTCCTGCGCGGTGCTCGCCGGCTCCAGCCTTTCCTGGAGAGCCCGTGTGAAGCCTTCGCCTGCCACTTCCTCCCGCCTGAGCACCACAGGGCTCCGATTCCCACTCCACCTGCAGGCGACACGCCCTCCTCCACGGGAGACAGCGGCCCTGGCGGCTGTGGTGAGGGCCCAGGAGCGACCCAGGCGCCGGCCTCGCTCGATTAAACACGCAGCTTTTCACAAGGCTCCTTTGGAAGAACAGTTCCCCATTGAAGGAGCAGTTAGACCTCACAGGTCAGCGTCTGGGACTAGATCTCGGCTGTGTGGCTCTAATTTAGTCTGGCCATGCCAGGGCTCGAACGGGTTTCTCCCCAAACAAGGAAACTATTTGGGGGGGGGGGATCTAGTTTCCCATGTTCCCAATTATAAGAAAGGGAAGCTGTTTCTTCCTACAGATTCTCTGCAAGTCCCCGCAGCTCCTGCAGGCGGAGGGTGAGACAGCCCTCGGGGCCTGCGAGCTTGAGCCCCACGACCTGCCCTGAGCCCCAAGCTGCCCTCAGGCTGCCCTGAGCCCCAAGCTCACTTGGCAAAGACACGAAAAAGACCCGGGAGGACAACGTGAAGGGAAGGGACGCAGCCCCGGCTTGGAGAGGGAGGGAAACCCTGCAGGGACCGTCCTGGCCAAGGCTGGGGGTGGCACCTCTCCCCTGGACATCTTCACGCGGCAACATTTTTTCCTAAGAATTCAAAGGAAGTTTAACTTAAAAAAAAAGTTTCCCACATGTGACTAATACATATATCCCAAATATATCCTTTGAGATACAGGTGGGTTAGGCAGAATAGTAATCGCCTCCCCCACTGCCCCCATGAAACTGTCCACGCTCCCATTTCAGGATTGTGTGATGATGTCACAGAACACGGCGAGGGGTGTGGGCTGCAGGCAGAACTGAGGGTCACAGAACAGAGGGCCTCAGAATAAGGAGGGAGGCCTGAATGATCGGGTGGCCCGACAGTCACCAGGAGCCATCACAGGGCAGAGACAGAGCCTGGAAGGCGCCACGTGCTGGCTTTGAAAACACAGGACGGGCCGTCAGCCCAGGCAGGTGGACCTCTGGGAACTGGACGAGGCCAGGAAAGAGTCTCCCCAGAAGGAACCAGCCGGCCACTCTGGCTCCAGCCCGGGAGACCCACCCTGGACTTCCGGCCGCAGACGGCACGGTGCCTGCTGTGTG